GTAAATATATGGTCGGTAAAGGCCGTTCTCTGTTAATATTCTTTGGTAAAGGACTCCTGTCTTTCCAAAGGCACAACAATGATAAAAACTTCTTGATATGGATTAATGAGGAGGACCACACCCGCATCATCTCCATGGAGAAGGGTGGCAACATGAAGAGAGTGTTTGAGAGGTTCTGCAGAGGCCTCAAACAGGTATGACACTACCTCCCAACCTTAAAATGGCAATATGTTTCACCATGACCAAGTTATCTCAGTGCTTCTCGACTATTTATTCTGTCTTGCTTACTGATTTTTAGGTGGAGCACTTAATTCAGGAGAGGGGTTGGGAGTTCATGTGGAATGAACGGCTGGGTTACATCCTCACGTGCCCATCCAACCTGGGCACTGGCCTGAGGGCTGGAGTGCACGTCCGCCTACCAAAACTCAGCAAGGTGATCACTTCCAACAGACCAAATCTCTCATCTGACAAGTTCCTCTAATTTTGTAGCAATTTTATGGATTTATTGGTATTTATTGGTATGAGCTGCAGATAAAACACTAATATTTCTAAGAGGTTTATTTAATATTTTAACAAATGCTGTATTGTCATGAGAATTGCACATTCACGCAGATTTGAATGGTTTCGTAAGCTGGCAGTAATCAGTTACAAGCTAAACTTGTGCATTTGAACACAAAACACCATCACAGTTGAAATAGCAAATATATGTATATTGAATTATACTAATGCGTATAATGCATCTTTAACATGAGAATAATGTCATACAGTGCAAAAAGAGAACTGATGAAAAAGAAAAAAAGAAAAAGAAAAAAAACGATACATAAAAGAAACCAACAATATCGCCAGAAATGGTGAGAAGCTTACCCCAGATGTAGTTGATTAGTCACATTTGGTGTCCAAATTTTGCTGAATCATTTCTGTTAATACAGCCCTAATTCTTCCCTCAACCCACTTAAACCGCATCCAGAACTTCCTTAAGGTAAACTATGGCTATTGACGTCTATCGTTTGTTGCAAAGTTAGCCTTGTCGCCCAAGCTAAAGAAGCAACACTTGGGCACCAAACATGTCTTCGCTGATCAACTACATCTGGGGTAACTGGATAATCCTCGAGAACTGACAAACCTACATCAGTAAAGCACTCTTTAACTAAAACCTTTGGTGTCATATAAAACCAATACTGTCGGTTACTGGAGTTCTTAGTTCCTTATATTCAGTAATGATAACAAAATTTTATTTCAGTCAAACCCTCGTCCAACATGTCTCATACCTTTTGATATCTGCAGTATCAAAAGCAGCATAACATAGGGTTCCCCTCTGCAGGATCCTCGCTTCAACAAGATCCTGGATAACTTAAGGCTGCAGAAGCGTGGCACAGGAGGAGTGGACACTGCTGCTGTTGGCGACGTATTTGACATCTCAAACAATGATCGTCTGGGCAGATCTGAGGTAGGCTCACAATGGTCTTCAAATCCCCCCCTGGCAGAAATCCTCTTTCCAGCTGTGTACAACCAAAAATCGTCCTCCCTGGAGAATAACTCTACATCTTGTTTTCATAGGTGGAACTGGTGCAGTTGGTCATAGACGGTGTTAATTACCTAATCGAGTGTGAGAAGCGACTGGAGAAGGGCCAGGACATCAAGATTCCTGCCCCCCTTCCTCAATTCAGGAAGTGAGGTGTTGTCAAAAGCTGGTCCCAGTGCAGTGGATAGGCAGACAGACACTCCTTCCACCCAAATCTTATACAAACCTTTTTAAATCTTATCCAAACCTCAATAAAAAGAGTCCTAAAGCTACAATTGTCTTCTTTCTTTTTAACTACTAAGCTGAATAATGTTGTGAGTGCACAATTTTGGCTTTGCAAAATTGAACAAGCTAGAACGGACATTATTCATATCTTGAAACTGTTAGACTTATTTTGGTGCTATTGGTAGGCATCTGTAGACCCCTGTGTGGCTTTACCAACAGAGAACTACTCCCTACTGATCTCCTTTTAGAGCCCTTAAAGGGTTTATAGTAGTAACACTTGTCTAAGCTTCTAAGAGCCAACACATAGCGCGCGCCCCAAACCCCCCTTAACTACAGACTACAAACTCCCATCGATAGACAGCCTAATCCTGTGGGCCTAATTTGTCCCCCTAGAGCTGCTTAGTGACGTATATCTAATAATGCTAATCTTTGTTCTATACTTAAAGAAGTGGGTTAGGACTGGGCCGATGGCATCCAACATAGTGTCCAGCACTGAGTGTAGGTATGTATTCAGAATGTTTTTAGTGTATACTTTGTAGTGGCTGCAGATGGCACTAAAATAGAACAGTGTTTTTGGACTGAACCTTTTACCTTATTTGGCCAAGACAGTTTCATCCGCCTAACAACACAGCTAAAATGCATTAAACCTCAAACAAAATATATGCTGTAATAAAACACTGAGCTTATTCGTTCTCATATATATATTTATTATTTTATACCAGGCTTCCTATTCTCCTTTCCCCAAGCAATGCATTACTATAACACAGTTTTAAAAGAACAAGTGCGTATCGGTTTAGCTGTATAACAATATTCGCGTATATTTTAAAGAGCTGGATCATACAAAATACATGAGTCCCTTTGAAAATCTAATTTCATCTTTTGATTAGTTCAACAACACTGCAACAGATGGTCTGTAGTCATTTCTGACATTGAGTTAAAATGCCCCCTAATGGCAATGATGCTCAAACACTTCTGCAAAACCTAACCAAGTGTTTGCTGTACGAATGCACTCACTAACCAGACTCTGAGGAAGTTATGGGACTCATCATGGAATCAACCTCAAAGTAATATATTTAATCTGGTGAGATGGGGAATATGGGGAAAAAATCTAGAAGAAGCAATGAAATATCTGTTAAATGACTGTTGCTGAATGCTCTAATAAAAATCACAAAAATTTGAGTATATCAGAATCTAGTTTTAGATAATGTACATAGGAAGGTCAAACTGCAGCATTACTCTATCCTCAAATGAACACTGCTTTAATCAGCTCGTGGTGACTTTACTGTGGTGAAGTACAGTATTTGCTCACAGTATTCTTTCAGCACTGCAAATAGCTTTATAATAATTAGTAACTACTATAAACGTTGATAGCTCAACATTTTAACGTCCCTTCAAAGAAGGTACTTTCTATTAATATAGTGCCATTTCTTATAACATCATTGTTAGATATTCTTGAAAGAGTTCAATTTCCAGATAAGATCTCAAAACATGTTTCTAAGAGCTAGTTGTCTGAATTAGTCTCATCTAGTAGATACAGAAAATTTAAAAAAACTCAAATACGCAGTATTTTGTTTTATATCAACTGACAATATTCTCTTTAGGGGTGAGAAAGTAACTGATTCCTAGGCGTAAGATTTTTATATAGACTGCCTTTTCCTTACTGTAAAATAAACTCACAACATAAAGTCAGATCTCACAAATAGTTTGCAGTCACAAATAATTGTAAAAAAAAAAAAAAATCATAAAAGGCCGGAAACCTCTCCGTATGAATGCAACATTGTTTAACAACTACCTCAGCAAACTGCCTACATTCAAGTTCAAGTTACTACTTAATCAGCACCAGAAAAAAAATCATAACTTGGGCTACAGAAAATTGAAAATACAAAAATTGAGATGGATTAAGATGCATCGCGAATCATTTTATAACCACATCATGGCACCCTAAATTTAAATCCAATTGAGTTGCGAGATGCCTAGAGATTCCCACCCCTAACTGTCACGTTGTTGCATGAATCCAAACTGCTAAAACTATTCAGAATGAAATTGAAACAAATACGGCCAAGAGAATGATATAGAGCAGGGGTGCACAACTCCAGTTCTATAGGGCTGGTGTCCAGCAGAGTTTGGTGATTTACCTGCTCAAGCACACATGATTTTACTCATCTGTTAATTACCAGGTTTAATGGGTGTGTTTAAGCACAGAAACCTCCAAGCTGAGCTGGACACTGGCCCTCCAGGACTGCAGCTGCGCACCCCTGATCTAGAGCTTGACTGCCATCTTCAGTCAAGACTTGGTATCACCAGTTGAGATTTGTCTGCAATTAAGAAAAACTATTGTTCCTTTACTTTAAAAGACCTTTAAAACGATTTTCTAAAAATCTGAGTAGCCCACACACCTCATGGTCTAGCCAAATCACATGGTGGGTTTACCGCAGTCATGCATTCTTTCAATGTATTATTTTACTTTGCAAATCATTTAAAAATAAAATTTTAAATCAATTAAAACTGATCTTGGTCCCAGTTATCCTGTTTACCAATCTAATTAACGTCCAGTTGCAGCAGGTACTTTTTTGCTTTGCAAAAGTTTACAAAAAAAGTATACAAAGTTCCAAAGTTAAAGAACATTAGGTAAAATAAGCTCCTCACACAGAGAACTATGCAGAATGCAACACTTCTCTAATTCTTGGTTAAGCACCCAATTACCGTAATCACAGCACCAATCTGGCCAAGTAAGGACCACACCAGTCTCTTGGGATTCCTGTCCACTTTAGTCCACTCTACTAACTTTGTGATTCATGTCTGAGCACAACAAAACACTGATATTCCCACATTCCAGAAAGACAACAGTAGGGTGTCTGTATGTATCTGGTTCAAGAGACACTGGAATAGTTTGAAAGGCCAGCAAAATCACCAGACCTCAATCCCAATTTACAGCAGGTAAAATGCTGAAATGAACACATGAACTCTGGCTGAAATGTGCACCCAGTTCATGAAAGAGTGGGAAAAAATGAACAGCAACCATCTCAATATAATCCTTATATGACCAGATTTGCATTGTTAATATGGAAAGGAGACACATAACCAAGTTTTAAAAAAGTCCCCCCCAGTGAGTTTATAATCCAACTTTGTCAGATTTTAAACTAGTTTAAGGCAAACTACCGCCCAGTGCTTTGACAGGAAAATGTCTTGCAAATCATACTACCTCAAGTTTAAAAAAAATAAACAAAAAAAAAACTGTTACGTCAGACACAAGTGTTTTTTTTTTTTTCTTTTTTTATAACATCATAAACATTATATTGGTAACAGTGACTATGCTGCAGTTTTGAATATTGGATGAGATACAAACATAGGTTATGGAGAACATAACACCTTGTTCCACAGAATACAGTGCAACCTAAGCAAAAACAAAATAATAAAAAGAAATATAAAAGAAACGTCTGCCACACACCTTCAGGACCTTGATGCATTAATTGTTGCCTATCAATTAGTTATTTGATTTTCAACACAGACTTGTGTGGAAGGGAAAGACAGTGAAAGGACATATAATATAATCAAGTTCACCATAGTACTCTGCTCCGAAACAGTCGAGATTCATTGCACAGCAGGTTGCGTGACCATATCTCTGTGCAAATTAAGAACAAATTAAAAGTAAAAGCAGTCACCCCCACCCCACCCCCACGGTCCAATTCTTGATGTTTTTTTTAAATCAAGTTCCCATTTACGCTTATATTTGGATCACATTTTCTTTATACACTATAGAAAAATCAGCCATCCAGTTGGCACCCAGAGGGCAAGCAGACTGATTCAGAAAAGTCCTGTACCAATGTTGAAATGCTTTTGGGATGCTCTGCTCCAAGCTCTGAGAGGGTGTTGTGGGTTTGAGTGTGAGGGCAGGTTGGGAGGGTACAGGTAGAGGCAGAGGTTTATAGATTTGGAGGGGTGGACAAAGGAGAGAGTGGGAGTCACTCTTGTGTTATCAGTCCACTGGTCGCTTTTCCCCATGTTTCTTTGTAAACTCTTCTGCGTTCTTAAAGAACTTTTTACGGTCTTTTGAGTATTCCTCTGCTAAGTCAGCCCTCAGCGGGTGCTCTGGTTGAGGGTCGTTGACAAGGGCGATGAGAGACTGGATTACTAATTAGGGGAAAAAAAGGAAAAGAAAAAAGAACACAACATGTTGTTGGATGAAACACTTTGACACTTGTCACCTGACGGTCAAATAGAGTCAAACAGTGTTTAAAATTTTTTGTTTTTTATAAATGCTGAAGGGTGATGTGGCTGGACACTGTACCTTGGTCAGTTTTGGTTGCTGGTTTCCAGTTTTCTGCACTTATAACGGGCAGGCAGACCTGGCCTTTCTCGTCAATGTTTGGGTGGTAGATCTTTGTTTTGAAGGTGATCTTGGGAGGCTTAAACGGATACTCAGCAGGGAATATGATCTCAATCCGGAATGCACCTTTATCGTATGGAGGGTTGTCCTGCAATACATAAACAGGCATTCATTTTTCAACCATTTTATTTGCTTTCACAGTATTTGTGACGTTGCACCATTCTTCGAGGGCAATACATTCCACACAATTCTTCTCAAATATAGGACATATTCCACTTCCAATTTTGAACCAGTGTTACTGTCTGACCAATTTTGTGAGAAATAAACATCTTCTTGCACAACTGCTTTGTGGCCATTTTTTCGATGCGCAAAAAATTGTTCCAAATATTTTGCATTTGTGTGTTTATTCGTGTCACACTCTGTGTGTAAAATTAAACATTAGGTGACACTGAACAGCCAACAGAGCTTTCATTTCTGAATCATGAACAAAATCCATTCTTGCAACTTTTTCTCACTTAAAAACTGAAAACAAGACCGCAGGAATAAAAAATGTCACCAAAACATTCCTATTTGCTGCTGCATTACATTATACTAGAAGCTAATACATTACTTAACTTTCCCAGCAATGTGTTTGCTTCTTTTCACACATGAGCCCTCCTGGAATTTTCTGGGATTGTTCTAGGCCAGTTTTATCAGAACTTATCAGAACAGAGGCTTGACAGGATGCACCCAGATACCTAGGCCCAATCCCATTGCGCCCCTTGTCCCTACCACTTAGGGCTAGAAATTTTTGTTGAGATAGAGTGATGGGATGAAGAATTAGGGCTACATGGCCCTCCAAACAGAGGTTTCTCAGAGGCACACTCCAAACAGAGTGTTCTGACAAAAAAGGACAACTGGTAGGATGGCTGCTCAAGCGTCTAAAAAAATACACAAATGTGAGTATTTTCTCTGTTTTAAAATTATGATAATCGTTGTATTATCTTACTTTAATGTCATGTTAATGTATTATGGTCCTTTTCTTTATAATAAGCATGAAAAATTTGCTAGTATTATGCCAAAGTCTCGGTAGCTAGCTATTCTCACCGAAGAATTAGGGGTAGTGGTAGTCACATTCTGCCCTCTTCGAAGGCCAATCATTTCCTAAATTTATCTAAAAACCAGCAGCGAGTTCGCTGAACTTTACCATCCTCTGCTATCATTGCAGACTGACAGGGTCGCCTACAGAGCAGCGCTAGTAGCCTGTTAATAAAGTAATGTTCTTTTTATTTGAGGGTTGTCCCATTTCACCAAGGAAGATTTCAACCACTACCCCCTGTAATGTAGTTTCAAGGGGCAAGGTCTACAACACACAGTAAAACAAAAGTATCTGAATAACAACAAAGGTACAAAATCACACTCAACATTCATCTAGCCCTCAGCTATTGTACAGCATGGTCAGCTGTAGTTTTGATTCAGAAATGACTAGCTGGAGCTTTAAACAAATAGCAGTAAGGGCATAAACATGAGAGGCACTGGTCAAAAAACAGTTAAATGATAATAGTTCCCTGTAATCAGATTCCAGAGGAAATTATTACAGACAATTTGCGTTCATGTTATTCCCAATTCGGTATAAACTGAAGCCTGGGGAAAGCTTTGGGCATAGCTATTGGCTTTATTGTTTTAAAGGTAATATAGTTAAAGTGAGGTTGGGACAGTACAACTATTCCCCCCCCATGTCCTTACAGTCCTGAAAAAGAGATTCATTAAGAGACTTAAGTGGCACAGAAATGTGGTAATTGATGTGCTTCTGATATTTTTACCCTTCTGAAAAATGAATCAATGTAAAAATCAAATGACTCAACACAAAACATACATTAAAGGCATTTAATTTTACTGTCGTTGGACAAGTACGATGAGGCTCTGTGTGTAGTGCCCCACCAAAACTATGCCACGCAAACCACTTATAAAACCACTACCAATACTTATAAAACCACCACTGCACTGCATCGAGACATGGCGCAATACTGGTGTACTGACACAGATAATCCACCATCAAAGTGATGAATAAAACATATATATTAAAGACTACTGCAATGTATGCTTGAACAGTTTGCAAAATCTCCACCAACAAAATCTTCAGCACGAAATCCAACAAAGACAATAACGAGATGGTACTTTATAATACTTACAGGAACGATAAGCCCTTGCCAAGTCAAAATGTTTGACTCGTCAACTTGGATGTTGCGGAAATTTTTCATTCCAGACTTGCGGATTTCATCAAGTTCCTGTAAAACAAAGCACATATGTATGAGATCCAATTCTCAACACTCTTACAGTGGCCATTGCTTATACTGGAATAATACCTGTTTAGATCACTATCATACTGAAATACAAACACAATTTAAATGGCTTTAAATGGACAGGATTAAGCTTCAGCTTCACAAAACCTAACTAATGCAACAATGTTTATCTTGTTTTATAATAGTGGTTAACAACTTTCTCTGTTAACCTATGCTATGATTAATATGTGTGCACATAAAGGATGACTTTTATGGCAAACATGCAATTGGAAAGTGGAAAACGTCTAGTGGCTTGTTTATAATGAAGAAAAAAAAAATCATGCCATGTAAGTATATAGAAGGTAAAGCACTTATCCAGGTTAAAAAAAAGGAATGGTGATGCCACTGCCATCATGTCACCATTCATTAGAGTAATGTCTGCTTAATGATATTTACAAAAACAATGCTGATGTAGCCTAGTAAAAAGTGAAAATGCTGGGTTAGATCAAACTAAGCTTAAAGTTAGCTGGCTAATGACTTAATCCTAAAAGCACACACCGAAATTGATCAAAGTGTTGCCAGTAACAAACAGCGATGGATCTACCTTTCCACTGCTAGATGGTGACAAACGTGAATAACAATGAGAGCCATCTGTTGCATCAACCAGCCACCCACATTTAAAGTCATTTAAACTCGTAAGTATGTCCCAAGCTGAATGTAATGACACAATCAACAAAATTACGCCTGAAAATGTACTGGCCAGAATTCGTCTTCCACGTTGTTGTACAGTCCTTACACTCTAATAAAAACAGAGACACTGACAACGAATAAGCAACGTACATAGCACCTAAGACTTTCCAGTAATATACAGCGTGTCTCGGAGAGGATTATCCAAGTCTGCATAAACCAAAGTCTCGCCAACAAGGTTGTGAAACTTCACAACTTAATTTTATATTTTGTTGAACTTGTTAATACAAAACTACTAGGTTAACACCCTGACAAACACCGACAGCTGACTTCCTGTTACTCACCAACATTCTAAATGTAGACTAGCTAACTTACAACAAAACGGCACCAAGTAACAAAACCGACTATATAAAGGAGTTTGGCAAGCTTGTAATCTCATGTTACAAGCTGAGTACATTATATATTGTGGATTGAGCTAACATAACTAACATTTTTGTCTCGTATCTCGAAGCCAACAAGCGACAAATTTGCTCCCTGGCCATTTGGGTCATTAGCGAGCTAACGCTAACTGTAGTAGCTAGCTAGCCCAACAGTTTTTTCCTTCCCCCAAACTAATTCAGACAGTTTCGGTTAAGCGGCTTAACAATTCCGTTTCAACTAAACTAAATCAATATAATTAAAAAAGCGCGAAAACGGGATGTACTGGACACCTCAATGGAGTCCAAATGTCGTTCCCGGCACATTTGCTCTTTTTTTGCCGGGACTTCTTTCATCTGCGATAGCGGGCGGCTGTTTTCCCTAGCTGGCTGCTAACCTGCTAACCGGCTAAGCAGATCTGCTAGCCAGGCAGCTGTTCTAAAAGTTAGCACTTTAATTTACTTAGCTAGGCGAACAGATGTATTAAAACTTACCTATTTGCAATCATACCGAATATAAAAAACAGTAGCTATACTCAATACTAGTTATAATACTTCTCTTCACTCCTGTGTCTATGGCATCAGACTTAACCATTGAGTATGTAGCTAGTTTCTTTACTGACATTACGATTAATGACTTTAAAATGTACATATTTAAACATGTGTACAACATTAGGGCCATTACATTTCAGAGACGCGGGCAGTTTTATTAAAAAGACGAGTCAGACATGACAGCCAAGGGAAATACGGGCTACTTCAGCGCAGACTAAGTGTCGTTGCCGGTTCATCTTGTCCTTTTTACCGGGGACCTTTGCAAGCATAACGTTCATCTGTGATAGTGGGCGGCCGTTTTGGCTGGCTGCTAACCTGCTAACTGGCTAACCGCTAACTACCATTAGAATCCCGCTATGATAAGGCTAGCCCGCTCGCTAGCTTCTCCATTATTATATTTCTTTGTCGTAAACAGAAGCTGGTGAAAACCTTCTCTTTTAAATTCGCAGTATCTCCCTGCCTGTCGTGCTGTACAGCTGAACGGGTTAGACGCGCCGCGTTTCTCATCCCATCGTTTCTGTCAGATCGGGATATTTACCTTATGCAGCCTCCTGCTTGCCGCCATCTTGGACTCGCTGCCTGATTACCCACAATCCAGCGGTGGAGTCGCTCACAGACGCGGTGAGTCTTCTGGAAAAAGCCTGACTGAGCCTGTGAGTCAGCACGGCTTACATTCACATACAGGGCTAGAGAAGAAACGGCAAACTGCAACAGCATGACATAACAAGATATGCACTCACTGGCCGCTTTATTTGTTAGACTAACCGTATCTGCGCTCATTGTGCATTGTATAAGTTCCAGTTATCATGTAGGTGGACTGTAGTTCTGCAGTTACAGACTGTAGTCCACACGTTTCCCTGCGTCATTATTTAGCTTTTCATTAATGATGACAGGCGTCCGAAGCCCCTAAGGTAACATGCTGATTATTATTTAATAAGTAACAAATTAATATATTAAGGCCACGAGTTATTATATTTAACGCACTACTATACTGAGGAGACGAGTTGAGAAACTCGTGGCCAGGCCTTATTAAAAAAATAATCACCATGTCACCTTAGGGGCTCTTTAGAGGCGGGTATTATTCGAGGGGTGGATCATTCTCTTTAATTTAATATTTCAAGTATTCAGGTAATATAACATTTCAAGGTTTACTAGAAGTGTATTATAGCAAAATGTTAATTAAAAATAAAAATGAAGCTGTTCTCTGGCCCAGAAATTTGTTGAGATTTTCTAATAATATCCCTTTTAGTGACTGAACTTAAGAAGGTGTATACAATCATGAAATACATTCTTGAAGATTTTCTAGAAAGCAGGTCTCCTGAAAAGAATGGATGCCGTAATAAAGGCAAGGTGGACGCACTAAATATTGAACATTTTGATATGTTTCATTGTTTCTGTGTAATTTTCAGTTAAAAAAATAATAAATGTTCTATTTTACTGAAAAATAAATGAAGTGTCTTCTCTGACTATTGCACACTACTCTACCACAGGGCCTACATTGTGTGTTAGTATTTTACTATTAGGAAAAACTGTACTCTGTAGGCCTATTATAGGCCTAATAATCTGCCGTCATTCCTGGGAGATGGAACTGAATTTCTGTGAAATTCACAGATTGACCTCTTGAAAAACAGACTGACGTTTTTGCCATTTTGTGTGCAGATATCTAATGCCAAAACATTTCTTTCCTCTCTTCTTTCTTATTTTGTTGTTTTCAGAGGTGATATTGGAATACTTATGCATGTTACTGCTTTGCTTTATTTGTATGGTACTTCACAAAATTTGCAAATAGAACACGTATAAACAAAAAGAGCAAAAAAGCGAAGCTACACGAAAACAACAGAAAGTGTAACAGTGCTTCTTGTTGTTAGGTTTAATTAAGCATGTTTTTTTGTGAAATTATTTTTTTAATTGTACATCTTACAGTCTATCCATCAGTTCCATTCACACCTTCATTAAGTTTCATTAGGTCGTATTGTGATATCCTTTCATTTGTGCCAACATGTGAATCTTAAAGTGGATTTTAATGGACAAGGTTAGGGTGGATTTTATAGCCAATGGTTTCAGTCTTTTCAGTACTTGCGTAACCTGTCAGTCTCTTCTACCACCGGTTTGTCCAGTTAAGTAACATTTATTGATGACAGTCATGTAGAAGAGACCTTTGCCTTAATTCACAATAAGTTTGCTTAACACCTATGTTACAACCACTGTGGTTGTGCCACTTTTCCCCCTATTTATAGGCCACACATATTTGATACTCCAGTTTCTAACTATCATAAAATTCTCCTTTCTTCGCAGGGGTGTGGCATTGTAATAGATGGAAAACAACAGTTTTGTCCAGCAGGTGGTGGTAAGGACACTTTCTAGTTGTTATAGCAAATAGACAAATTCTTGAGATGACTCTTCGCACATAATTATTGCTTCCGCACTGGCCACAGCAAAATTACAAAATTCCCTTGTATGATCAACAAAGTATAACTAACATTGAATTTGAGCATAGCTTTATGCTCACTAAAGCCTTGGAGAACATAACTATTATTATCATCTTGCACTAGAAACTGCATATATTTCTCACATAGCTTACAGTTTGTAGGTAAAAGTTTGGGTGCCCCTGGTCAAATGTTTTGTTGATTTTCTCCATGAAAATAATTACACATCCACTACAAAGAACACACTTTTTAATGGACAATTACTATTTATTTGCTAAATTTAACACATTGGAAAAACACAAAAATTGCTGTAGTTTTGAAAGTGAAATAGTTTCCCATTCTTGCCTGATGTAGGATTTCAGCTCAACAGTTTGGGGTCTCCTTTGTCGTATTTTTTGTTACATAATATGGCAAATATTTTCAGTGGGTTACAGATATGGACAGCAGGCAGGCCAGTTTAACACCCAGAATCTGTTACTACAGAGCCATGCTGTGGTAATACATGCAGAATGTGGTTTGGCATTGTCATGCTGGAATAAGGAAGGCCTTCCCTGACAAAGACGTCATCAGGATGGCAGCATATATTGCTGCAAAACCTGTATATATATTGTTCAGCATTAATGGTGCCTTCACAGATGTGCAAATCTCTCATGCCATGTGCATTAATGCACTCCCATACTATCACAGATGCTGGCTTTTGAACTGTGCACAAGCTAGTTGGTCCCTCTCCTCTTTAGCCATGAGGACATGGCGTCCGCGATTTCCAAAAAGAATTTCAAATTTTGGTTTGTCGAACCATAGGACACTTTTCCATTTCACCTCAGGCCCAGAGAAGGCGGCATTTTTGGGTCCTGTTTCTTCTTTGCGTGGTAAAGTTTTAACTTCAATTTGTAAGTGCAGTGACAAACTGTCTTCACAGACAGTGGTTTTCGGAAATGTTCCTGAGCCCATGCAGTGATTTCCACCACAGAATCGTGTCTGTTTTTAATGCAGTGCCAACTGGGGGCTTTAAGATTGTGGCCAGCCAATACTGGTCTTCAGCCTTGTCCCTTACATACAGAGATTTCTCCAGATTCTCTTAACCTTTTAATAATTTTATGTACCATAGATGATGAAATCCTCAAGTTCTTTGCTATTTTACAGTGAGAAATGTAATTGTTGCAATAGTTTTTGCACAGTGGTGAACCCCATCTTTACTTCTGAAAGACTCAGTCTGTCTGGGATGCTCTTTTTATACCCAATCATGTTCCTGATGTGTTGCCAATTAACCTAATTAGTTGTGAGATGTTCCATCAGGGCTGCATACAGCCCTGACAAAATGTAGCAAGACGTTTATTTAAACAGAAACCGTGGTGCATTGAACACATAATACCAAAGCATTGCAACTATGTACAAAAAATGTACCTCAAAGTCCCTTGCACACTGTTTCACACCATTTTGGAAACCATAGCAAAACGATGCACAACGTTTTGAGATTAGATGTGCCCAACTTTACCAGTCCTTTGTTGACCTGTCCCAACCTCTTCAAAATGTGTTGCTGGAATCAAATTCAAAATGGGCATATATTGTTCAAAAAACAATATAATTTCTCAGTTTCAACATTTGAATATGTTGTCTTTGTACTACTTTCAATTAATTATAGGATTTAAATGATTTGCACATCACGGCATTGAAAATTGAATATATGCTCTTTAAACATTTTCAATTGACATGTTTTGTTAATTTTCTAAGTGAAAATAAGTTAACATATCCTCTACAGATAACAAATGTAAATATGATATTTTTGTGCAAATTTTAGTGCACAGTTTTTATTTATTTTTATGAGTTCAACACATCGGAAAAAAAATTAAACATTGAATGTATGCCAACTACTGCACAGGCCACATTTTGGAAATGGGGTTGTATTTTTTACCTTAATCCTGCAATACACTGTAAAAATGGCTTGTCAGATCAACCTAAAACATTACTTCATGTGGTAACAAGTAAATTAACTAGTTTTATTCAACCTAAATAAATACTTTGAATGAAAAAGTCTTTCAATCATTGTAATTTCTTGAGTTGAAAAACTCTAGTTAATTGCTTGTTACCACATGAAGTAATTTTTTAGGTTGATCTGATGAGCCATTTTTTTACAGTGTATAATTCTTACAATTATAATTAGAATACTTATAATTCATAATGGGCGGCACGGTGGCGCAGTGGGTAGCGCTGTCGCCTCACAGCAAGAAGGGCCTGGGTTCGATTCCTGGCCGGGCGACCGGGGTTCTTTCTGTGTGGAGTTTGCATGTTGTCTGCGTGGGTTTCCTCGGGGTACTCCGGTTTCCTCCCACAGTCCAAGGACATGTAGTCAGGCCAATTGGACATGCTAAATTGCCCCTAGGTGTGAATGTGTGTGAATGTATATGTCTGCCTGTCTGCCCTGCGATGGACTGGTGACCTGTCCAGGGTGTATCCTGCCTTCCGCCCAATGACAGCTGGGATAGGCTCCAGCACCCCACCGCGACACAGAAGGATAAGTGGTTTAGATGATGTATGTATGTATGTATGTATGTATAATTCATAATGGCCATTTGAGGAAATGTGAGTAAACAGCAACTGAAGACAGAAACCGTGGAGAGTCTCTGACATAAGAATTGAACAAATTGCATTGGTTCAGTTTGTATTTTTTTAAAGATCTTTTTGACTAAATTTAAAGTGAAGTTGAAAAATTTGTACATATCACGAGTTTTGGAGCAGGAAGTGAGACTGTATCTCTGTCCCTCATGGCCACCTGGTGAGCAGTTATATTCCATTGTTTTGATGCAAATATGTCTGTTTGTCATAATGAAAATTATTATGATTCTATTTATGTACAACTGTTCAAAGCTGGCCCTGCGATGGATTGATGACCTGTCCAGGGTGTATCCTGCCTTCCACCCAATGACTGCTGGGATAGGCTCAAGCTCCCTCTGCGACCCAAAAGGATAAGCGGCTTAGAAGTCCACATCTAAACTAAATGTCTAAAATGTGTTTTCAACAGTGACATCACAGTATCCCAAACTACTGACTGATTATTATTATTATTATTATTATTATTACATGTGTATTTTCCTGTATTGATATAATTTAATATGTACAGCTCTGGCTAGCACACAATTATACCAAGCAGTAGAAGTAGATGTTCATGTATGTCCCACAGGGTACGACTTTCTAATGATGGCCTGTAGGTGGCACATAAGTACACAGCATCAAATCTTGCCTCTAACAACACCATTAAAACACCAACCAGTATTTCTGAACAGAGTGGCAAAGCAGACACTCATTTATCTGAAACAGTTTTTCTCTTCCTGGTGAACCCCTGCACAAGCACACATGATTCTGTTTAGGAAGTAATTAGCTAACAAGTTGGATCAGGTTTGTTAGAGCAGGGAAAACATCAAACCGTGTACTGCATGGACACACCAATATTGGCACAGGGAAACATTACTAACATTATTAACTAAAGACTTTGGTCATGGGCCCATTCATGGATGCTTTGGCAGAATTGTGTACTTTAATGCCTTATACGCATTTATTTTAGTTAAGAGAATCATACACTATATACAGTAATATGTAAAAGTTTGGCACCCCTGGTCAAATTACACTTTTTGCTGATTTTCTAAACAAGTACACACCCTCTACAGAGAACAAACGTCTGAACACTTTCAATACACAACTTCTGTTTATTTTCTGAATTTAACAAATTGGGGTTAAGTAAAACGTAAGATGTGGTCTGTGCAAGTTAGGGCAAATAAGTAGAGACTGTACACTAAAAAAGATCCCAGATTTAAGTGTGCTCTCTCTAGAGCATGTGTTAACTAGTTTTCCCTTAGAAAATCAAGATGTTATCACAAACTGTATGTATTAAAAATATTAAACAGTGTGAATTTATGCATACAATTCTGAATATTGCTCAAAAAAAATATAAATGTATGGATGTCTCCTGTACTGTTTTTACCCTGGCCGACATAAACATAAAATACATAAAGAACTGTAAGAAGTGTGTTTTATTGTAAATAACAAAGTATTTTTATATACCTTATTGTAAAACATTTTTATTTGAATAGTAGATTAACATGAACAGATGCCACTTCTAAATAAAACTCAATACCTTGTTCAGTAGTTTTTGTATGTGTCGTACTGCAGACAGAAATCAGTGTTGGGTGGAGACAGTGAACAACGATGACTGCAACTACACGTTTGCATGCAGGTTATTTAGCTGTCTGTGAATAAATACACTCTAAAAGTAGTCCTAACTCGCTAGTATGGCCAGCATGGAAACTCGACTCTCAGTGGCTATCCTAACATAACAATTACCAAAGGACAGAACGACATAAATAGTTACATTATTTGCTCCTATTCAGTTTATCTTGCTGTATTATTTAACTTTATAATATTCGAGATAGGAGAACGGGCAGCGTCTCAGCAATAGCCTGCACAGTAATCGTGGCGAATACGACATGCTGTTCTAACCCAGAATAACCCGAGCGAATTCGTGGCTCCTGGCTGGCAGAGGCATTTTTCTCCCCTTTTCACCCCCTCTTTTGCTGGCTTTTATTCAAATTTGGGTCAGGGGTGAGGATTTTTCACGTCACAAGCTTGCAAGATGGCGCTCGGAAAGCTGTGAGATGAGAAAACAGGATGGCTGTTTGAAGAGCTTCGGTCGATTTATTAAGGTATATGTTCTTTTATCACTAGCGCGGTATATGTTTTACTGAATTTGTAACCGCTCCGATGTGACGGCCGCGAGTTTATGTTTCTGCGAGAGGGTTTTGGGGTCAGTCTGCTTCTTGAAAGAAAGACAGGCTGCTCCAGCGCGTTGGTCTCGTCGTGTGCCCACAGGGGCTTCTCTTGTTCAGGTCGCTGCTAACAGCCTAGCTTGGCAGCGGCAGCGTGCCCGAGCAGCGGGTCGGTCTTTCAGCTCGGAAGCTAAACCACCGCTGCGTCGGGAAGTAATTCACAACGTATTCCAAGTGAAAGCGTTTTAAGCAGGGGGTCTTATATTTTACTTTAAAAAACAAATATAGTGCTGGGGGGGCTAAAGTGCCTGGGCAAACCTGGCGTATTGTCGCTTTTATATAGATGGCGGTCCTCTGTCTGTGTGTGTTTTTCTCATGAAATACTCCTGTCTCTTTTCTGCTATTTATGCATGAGGCTTTTCGAAGCAACGTATGATATTGGTTAGCGAATGCTGACACGAGTACCACGAACTGTGTCATGTATTTCCCCCTCATATTTACATGGACACAAGACCACCGTTTGCAATAATTGTGGAAAGAGAAAATACGTAGAAAAAAGTCTTTGTTTGGTCGCCTTTACGCGTTTCTTTTTTCTCTGCGCTGTAAGGGACTTGCAAAAAATCACAGCTAAGATTTTGTTTGGTGTATTGTGGAGGTTCGCTTTTGATTCGGTGTTAGTTTCAGGCTGGAATAGCAACCTGCCACTGTTGGGCATTTTTAACCTCGTGCCTGAAAACCTTATCAATGGGGCGGCGTGGTTTAGGCACTTAGTTTCCCCTTGTTTTCTCCCTTTTGTGCTTTCTTGAGCTGTTCTAACTCGTGTTGCTGGGAGTTTTTATACGTTGGCTTGTTTGTGTTTGTGGGGGGGGGGTGCATTCCCTGTAAAGGACTGTACTGAGTCGCATGTTGAAAGGATACGTTATTACACAGCTTGTCGTAATCGGAGTTTTAATTTTTTCGTACGGAACGTGATTGGATTGCTTGAATGAACCTTTTATCTCATCCGTTTTAGTGGATGGGGGATGGGTTGTTTTACAGTGGGCTCTGCACCGATCTGCTGCACATAGGTAAGGTAGTAGCTCTTGTAATGGGACAGTTTTCCTGAATGAGAGGAACCGAAAGGGTTTTTTTAATCTTACATATACTTATTCAGTGCATACGGTTTCATACTGGTGGGGTGCACATATTGGTCCATATTTAACAAGCATCTCAAAGAAAGAAGATGCTGGGCAGGTGGTTGTAGTCATCCAGCCTGTGAAAGACACAACCTGATTCTAGATCGTTGCTCGTTTTGGACAGGGCCCACAGTTGCAAAGTCACTCCGTGAATGTGGTTTCAAATTGACGTACATATTTGATATTTTCTGGTCATGAAAAAAGCCTGAATTCATGGATGGTAGTGGTAGAAGAAGTGATGTGTAAAGCGAGATCAACAAGGACAAGATAAAAACGTCCTCCTAAAGATCTTCTGTAAGCTCTATCAAATGGATGTGCCGCTGGCTCTCTGGGAAAACGCCCGAAGATGTTGGTGTCCCCCTGGACAGCTTGAATTTATGCTGTGCAGTTTTGCTTCATGGATTGAAAGGGACTTATCCATGATCAAATACCTTTCAGTTGATTCTCTGAGTTCATGCAGTTACAGAACCCAGTAGTTAGGCTGTCACTGAAAATCAAGTGTAACTAATCGTCAGATGTTTTAACACTGTTTGGCTTACATCCTTCTTTACTGATTTCATACCTGTGAAGCCAGATGCGTGCAAATATATTTTGTGCAGGAGTTGTGTTGCTTTAAGGTAGTAACTTGGGTCTGAAATCTTGCCCTACATACTTTGCGTGTTTGTTGTGGAGTAGACAGCTTCTCTAAATAAGAGGTGCTGTGACTGCAAAAACATAATACATTGTGCCTCAGTGTTGACATGCTGTTTTATGGCATGGATGTCTGTCCACATTATGTTCTAAAATTTTAAGGATGCATCAATATGGGAATTGTGGGCCCATGCCAATGGCAGACAAGTTTTTATTTATGTAACTGCTGTTGACGATGCATGAACAATTTGGAAACTGTGTAGAAATTACAACTATATCCACCTGGACTAGAATTGTCAAAAAATACAATTATCACTAATATTAGTCACTGTCCAAAAAAACATGAATCTCCATTTTTGTTGTTTTTCTACATCATTTCAACACACAAGCTGTTCTTTCCGTTGTGTGAAAATATCCTGATTAATGGACTAATTGAGATGCTCTAAAATCACTTGGAATAAAATCTCTTTACACTGACTTACATTAAAAGAGCATTACAGAGCTCTTGTAAAGTTACTTTTTTGGAGATACTTGTCCAAAGAAAAACAGTGACTTCACTGTGCTAGACAAGATGCATATTAAAGGGTATATTTTTTTTATTTCATTTTATCTGTAAAGTACAATAATGATTCGGAGAATGAGGTAAGCGCTATTTATTGCAAGTAAGTTGCATTAATTGGTTAGTAACAGAGCTGGCAGAGGCTATGACCATAGTCGTCAGTCAACCTTATGAGTGGTATTCAATTTTGTGAGGATTTGGCTTTTTAATGGTATACTCTATATACCTGAATTGACAGGGTTTGTTTCATCCTTGTCTTTTTCATGTGTTGGGCATGTTATGTCATTTATGAATGAAAATAGGTTTGGGCAGTAAAGGAAGGCTCTTATGTTCTTGAGATAATGTGTCTTTGAAATTGTATGGTTCAAGGTGGCATTTTGATTAAAGGAGTATTCCTGACATGAAAAAACTGACATTTAGGTGCATCTTGAAGGTAAAACACTAGAGAAACACTGATGACCATGACCATGGTGGTCTTTGAATTTCCACTAGTTATTAAGATTTCAATAAACAGTACCCTGGCTTGGCTGAAGTTTTTACCTCAAATGATTTGGGTAATTAAACATACAGGATAGCTTGTATATTTTGAGAGGAAAGATGACCGTGTGAGACAAATTCTCATACAGTGTTATTACATTGGCTCTAATAGCCATGGTTCCATTATTTTGGTGTTAAAGCTGACTTTATATTTCTTTTAGTAACAAGGCAACAGCCCAGCATGTATTGTGCTTGTTATTGCTTGCTCAGAAATAATGCAACGGGGCAGTCAGTTTTGTCTTATAAGAGCCCACAGTAAATATGTTGGCTGTATTTCTGCTGCCAGCGCCATCTTTCCTAAGAGTTACACTAGTAGGTTATAACAAAGACAATAAAATAAAGTCCTTAGGGGTATGTGGCATTGGATAAAGTTGTTTACTAGGCTAATCACATTCCTTGCCAGACTTGTTTACCAGTGTTGTTACTGGCCCCCCTCTTCTGCACTTTGGCTTGCCTTTCCAGGCAGCAATCTCTCTGATTAGACCAGTTGTTTCATCTGTGCTGGCGCAGGCCTGTTCATTTTTGAGGAGGGAAAGGAATGTCTGCAGAGCAATAAAGAGGGTCAGAAGCATCTTATCAACCCCTGTGTACAACTCAGATAAATGCTTTTCTGTAACTTTTTTTTGCCTTTGGCTTTTTTTCCTAGCCAGTGGGTTTTCTTTTGTGGGCTATGGGTGCGGTGTGATATAGAGGTTTGTTCAAACAGATGTGGTTTTTCTGTAAAATCCTTAAACTTCTGTGGGCAGTGCTGCTCCAAGGCCGAAAAAGGTTTTCAGAGAGATGATAATACTAAACCCAGTCAAAGTGTTAGGGCTGGTGTCACAAGGAATCTATTTAGACAATCTCTCTTTTAAATAATGTAATTAGCATTGATCTAGACTGGTGAATTACTCAAACATAAACACAGCAAAGTTCTAAAGCCTAGAGTCTGCCTGGATTTTTTTAATTCATGAATTTGATGCAAATGTAATAACCCAGTGAAACTGAGAATGAGAAGTTAATTTCTGTTAACAGTGTATGCATTTTTCTCTTTATTCACATAATTATGAAAGCTTTTGGCAAGATCATAATAAAATTATTATTATTATTGGTTTAGTCTTGGGTGTATGCTGACCCCATGAATAAGCTATTTATAGTACAGCAGACCTCTGTGGAACAGCTGATTTGAGCTCACATCATAATGCACACAAACAAGGCTGGCACCCTAATGATAATAAGGTTCTCGTTGGCCTTTATCTACCCACCCCTTCACAGCCACCACCACCACATATTTATGGTTTTTTCCAGGATTTCAGTGGGTGCTTCTGATGGCTTTCATAAATGGGATATGAATTTGCTTGCTTGATTTGATACTTAAAGTATTTTAAGCATCTCTAATGTCATAAGGAGACCTAAATGAATTGTAGATTCTACTGACATGAGCCTAATAGTAACCTCCTAGTTACCCGGGGCAAGTCTTGTCATTGATCAGACAATACAGTGCTTTTAGGTATTTTGTAAAGATTTCACCATCACTAATGACACTGTTGCTGAATGACAAAACCTTTATCTTATGCATTGCAAAGATTCTGTTGCAAGCCAGGGCCTGCTTATCCAGTGGAAGGGCTGCTGGTTTACCTGTTCCCACCACACCCTTGGTGATCCCTCTGGCTCGAGTTTCATGTTGTCCTTCATGCAAGCGAGTCAGAAACATCCACTGGCCTCCCTCCCCCCAACCCCCATCTTGCAACAAAGAGACTAACCCTGGAGGCTGGCATTAATGGCTGGTGGCAGGAACGTTAAGAAGGCTCAGAAGAAAAAAAAATACTCTTCAGACCTTTAGTTTCCTGTCTGCTTTGTGCTTGGACTGGTGTTTGTCAGCATTTAAAAACATGATGCTGCTTTTTGAGCCAGTAAAAGAGAGTGACCCTTGATTCATAGTGAATGGAAGCACACAGTGTTTTTAGCAATGCAGGTTTTAAAAGTTTGTTAGGGTCATGGGATTCCTGAGAAATTTATTGGCATTGTTCTAGGTCTTTTTTCCATACCTCAGCTTAAAGTGGTGAGAGTAAATGACTCTGAATAAATGAACAAAGAATTTAGTTTAATTGAGAATTCACATTCAGTGAAGCATTTTGTACTTTGCACGAAATGAACAGTATGCTAAGTTCTCCTGGTTATTTGTACCCTTTCAGGTTTGCAGGTGCAGAAAAAGAGGATGGAAATGGAATTGCCAAATCATGCCAAACAATTGCTGCTGCAGCTGAACCAACAAAGAGCCAAAGGTTATCTGTGTGATGTCATTATAGTAGTAGAAAATGCCCTCTTCCGGGCACACAAAAACATCCTGGCAGCCAGCAGTATCTACTTCAAGTCCCTCATCCTTCACGACAACTTAATTAACCTCGACACAGATATGGTCAACCCGTCGATATTTCGGCAGGTACTGGACTTCATTTATACTGGCAAGCTTTTGTCATCGGATCAGGTCAGCGACCACAATTTTAATGCCCTCCTGACGGCAGCAAGCTACCTCCAACTGCATGACCTGGCTGCTCTCTGCAGAAAGAAGCTGAAACGCAATGGAAGATCCCTCCACAGCAAACCTACAACCCCTACCAATGGAAGAACTTCCAGGAACCAAAGGTTGTCCTCTACACCCGTCACCCCAAACCAAATTTCAGGGTTTAAAGATAGTGAAAAAACAAAGAGGCAAGAGGAGGTACTTAAAGACGAGTTATCGGAGGAAGAGGTTTTTGCCGGGAATGCCCATTGCGCAACCTCAGCTAATTCTCTTAGTCCTTCTACAAGTAAGAATGGGAGCAGTGGCCCCATTAACAGCAGTGGTGGCCTCCTGGAGCTTGGCCTGGATCTCTCCAAGAAAAGCCCTTCAGGGAGCACAGCCACTGAAGAAGTCAGTCCCAGCAGCATCCCACAAGAATCACCTCAGTCTGCCTCAGAATCCACAGCCAACAGTGCCTCGTTTGATGAGATAACCACGAACCCGCAGAACCTCACCGGTGGTGAGCCTATGGATGTAGGTGAAGGGGGAGAATGTGAGGAGAGCCAGCACCCTCCAGACCCTGACCCCGTCAAAAGCTCCCGTCAGACATCACGGCCAAGGCGGCAAGCCAAGGGCGAGAGCCACAAAGGTGAAGATGCAGAGCGAGCCAGTCTGCCCAATGGTGTCACCAAGAGGCTGAATGTGGCAGGTGGGGGAAAGGTCAACTCTGATCTGTCCTTCCAGTGTAAAGAGGAAGATGAAGGCCTGGAGAACGGCCAGGAACAGAGTGAGGAAAGCGGCCAAAGTGAGAGCGAAGGTGGCCGCAACAGCGCCAACTATGTGTACCGCCAGGAGGGCTTTGAGCCTGCCCTTGGTGACAACCTTTACGTGTGTATTCCCTGTGGTAAAGGCTTTCCCAGCTCGGAAGAACTGAACGCCCATGTGGAGACCCACACGGAAGAAGAGCTGTACATCAAAGAGGAGGAGGACGATGGCTATCCAAAGGAAGATGAGGCCGAGGCCGAGGACTTGTCATCCCAGACAGTGCAAGCGCATGGGGCAGAGTCACGCCGCTTTTGCTGCACAGTGTGCAATAAGAGCTACAAGGATCCGGCCACGCTGCGGCAGCATGAGAAGACCCACTGGCTCACACGACCCTTCCCCTGCAACATCTGCGGCAAGATGTTTACCCAACGTGGCACCATGACGCGCCACATGCGCAGCCACCTGGGCCTGAAGCCCTTTGCCTGTGAGGAGTGCGGCATGCGCTTTACACGACAGTACCGCCTCACGGAGCACATGCGGGTCCACTCGGGGGAGAAGCCCTATGAATGTCAGCTCTGTGGCGGCAAGTTCACCCAGCAGCGCAACCTCATCAGCCACTTGCGAATGCATACCTCCCCATCATAAGCCAAAGACGCTCTGGACAGGAGAATCTTCTTCAGCAAAAAGATTTCAATACAACGCACACCTCTTTTCTGTGAAGATGATGGCTATGAGTGGGCGACCCCAAAGGAAGTTTCGCTCCTGCCTTGACTAACAGGAGTAGCAGTTCAAAACATGAAAGCCCTAATGGTTAAAAGGGCAACCTTCCTCAAATATTGGTATGTAACTTTTTTTTGTTTGTTTTTTCTTTTTTTGTTTTTACTTTATTGCTGTGAATGTATAATTGGGGTACTGATGCTGTTTCAAGATTCCTTGGCATTACCAGACCATTATTAACCAGTCTTTGCACTGGTTTCATGTCTTGGTCCACTTCAAATAATTGTCATTTGGCTATCCCAAGAATACACCACTTCTCTTCCTTTGGTCTTTCGAATAAGGGGTTCAGTAATCTGAAAATACATCACAATGTTTTAATGTCTTAAATTTTCATTTGAATTCAAAAGATTTAAATTTATTGAGTATGACAAATGAGGGTTTTTAAGAGTCTCAAAGAAAATGTTGCAAGGCATGCAAAGTGCTGTCTGTAGTGGTGTTTCATAAAAGCTTTGTGCATTCAACCAAACAAATTTGCAAGATTTTACTCTGTACCATGTGCCCGTTGGCTATTCCCTAGTAGTAGATGTGAAGCAGGGTCCAACAAAGCTTTCGTTCTACAGTATCTTGAGGCATTTTGGGACATGCACGCAAATTCCTCAGTTTGATACAGCTTCAGTTATAATTGCTGCATGAAACCAGTAGTTATGAGGAGGCTTTGTAGTAGCCTTTAAGATGAATGATGGATGAATGATGGGCCACTCACTTATCAGGCAGGTGCAGTCAAATATATCTGCTGTGTTTGTTCCGCACCTGAACATGGGCAAGTGGGGTCATGGACATGTGTGGTCATAGGTGTCCATTAAAGCTGTATCGTTTACTCATATAGTATGTAGGGGTTTACTCTCAAAGAAAAGCCAAAATGAACGGTACTTGTTTTATAGATAACTTATTGTTATACTTCTGTGAATATTTAAACTGGAAGTCCTTTTGATATTTCTTTGGGGTGAGTCAGAAAGGTGAGGTGACTTGGGTGATGGGTTGGGTAGGGTTTGTTTTAGTGAATGTTAAACTTCTAAATTCTGTCGGTACTGTTTTTTTTGTTTTGTTTTTTTTTTTTCCCTTTTCTTTAGTTTTGTCTGTTTAACTTTGCCCTTCACTGAAAAGACAAGCCTAATTTTATAGTCTTGTCACATTTCTACCTCTTAATTCAAAAGAACAATACATTCATTGATGGAAATATGGGGGTTTCTGAATATAGATGTATAAAGTTTGCTGAGGCTTTCTGAATACTTCTAACCTGCCCATCTCTCAACAAAGGTTTTAAGTTTTACAAAGTTTTAAACATATTAAAGTAGAAATTAGCTTGTTGGACGCATGTATTTAAGGTATTGAAAGGTTTATGTCAGTGAAATCCAAAGAGAAAATGAATATTGAGGAGAATAATGGCTTTCCAACAAAAAAATCCTGTAGAATATCCCTACCAAAGTTCTTAGAGTAAATATGGAAAAATATCATTGCAGGAGAAAGGTATTATTAAAAAACTTCTGTGGTTCTCAACAAAGAGTATTGTGGGAATGTTAGTTTATACTGGACATTGTACTAAAAACCAATGAACTTCTTTTGTAAAACTTCTGCTGATTGGTGGGCCGGTGGCTTTCCATTTTTGAAGTTTACAGTAGTTTCTCTTGAGTGTCTGACTTGCTTTTTTTGTCGTCAAGAGAACTTTTGTTGAAGGACTTCAAGAAGACTAATTTATTTTAGTTCAGACCAAAAAAAAGAAAAAAGTAAGTGAGTAGGATGTTGTAGGGTTAAAAAACATGTCCACCATAGTTGGGAAGCTCATTCAATGAGGAATCGATGCACTGGATTGCCTCTGCCATCTGTAGAAAAGCTCTTGGGTCACACAGATGCCCAGCCGAGTTGAGTGGATCACACAAGAACTGACGACATTTAATCGGTTGACTAAGTATTGTATAAATTCTTTGCATGGATCAGAGAATGCATAGAGGTTATTCAAAAATGCTGGTAGTTGTCTTGGGTTACTGACTTTGGGTCAATGTTACATTATCAGTACACTGAAAGAAGTATTCGTACTTCACTGGTGAACTTGTTGATGCCATGTATTCCATAACTCATTACAGATTAGCTTATTTTAAAGCCAATTCTGGTATATCACATTCCATGTTTAACTCTTAGGCCTTCTTAATGCAAGTCTTAATGGCATTCCTTTTTGGTTCCATTTGTTCTGGTTCTTACTCTGTAGTCCAGTTTGAGTAGTTATTGATGCCTCTGCGGTACAGCTATAGTCATTTTAAACTATCAAATACTGTTAACTGACCTTCTTTTTCCTGGAATTCTTTTGTCTCTAAGCCCACCTGTTCAGAGACTGTCTAACCTTATCAATGTTTTTACACTGGAGACACTTCAGGTTCTTTTTGGCAGAAAATTATAGCTCACATTCCTGCCTCTATCAGTAGATATGTGCTGCCCTATATTTTTCTGGCCTTTTTTACGACAGAATAGCTTGTCATGTAATTTTTTTCTCACATTGTAATATGGACACTAGTAGTTTGAAAGAGGTCCAAAGTCTTATTACTTTAATGGTTATCAAGTGCATCGGCAAAAATTGTATCTGCCTCATTCAATTCAATGTCTCATGGAAACTGAATTGTTTCGAAATGTCTGGGTGCACTCCAGTGTTGATGTACTCGTATCACGAACTCAGGGAGACTTAATTTTGTCCTCCTTGTCTCTTATGTACACCACACAGGATTCCAGGAAAAAGGCGACATTGATCTCTTGTGTATGTTTCAGCACTTAACCAACACAGCATCAGTGTAAGAGAAAAGAGGTGTGTTGCATGGCGAGGTGTTTTTCTTCTCGATTCGAACATTTGGAGCTATAGCCGAAATGAACTGAAAAGATCAGCGAAAGGATGACTAAGTTTCAAACTGTGACAATAATGTTTCTACTTCAAACTTCAGGGACAGTTCTGCATATTTTGACATGCGGAACTTTCAACTACATTTGTAAGACTGTGTCAATACTGTGTCAATTTCTGTATTTTAATGACAAAAAGCAAAACACTAGTTTCCTATGAAATAGATTTTAAGAGAGTGTGTTCCCATTTCAAACAACGCCTTCAGAAAAATAGAAAAAAATGAAAAAAAAAGAAAAGAGAAAAAAAGCCAGAGATGTACATGAAAGCTTAACTTTTAAGTTCCAGAGTGTTTTAGAACAAAAGGAGAAAAAGAATAGTAGTAAGCATAAAGTGTATAAATGAATAAGATAAGCTCATACCCAAATTTTCAGACTATTTTCTAAACCAAAGCACATTTTTGAATGATTGACAGCTTGTCTGACATAACGATACTTGTGTATATCTCATTGTTTACATATACTCTTACAGTCTCAGACCTCAGGAGAGGAGAGGCCAGTTTGAATGCACTTCTTTTCAAGTGCACTTCTTTTAGAGAAAAAAAAAAAACCTTCAAGTCTTATTTACGTGGCTTACCTTATAGAAGAAGCTGCATGTTTCAGAATGGCTTTAGAGATTTTTGTTAAAACTGTCTTAGCTGCTAGATCTTTGATTTCATGTCCAACCACTCTCTGCATAATGTGCCGTGGGAGTGATGGGGAGATTAGGGTTAACGCATTACATTTACAAATCATATCTTTGGATGTACTGGATGTATTTGTTAGTCTGCTGCTTTTAAAGGTGTAAATAATTGTATACAAACTACACAAACATCATTTACCTCAGAGTGAGCCATTTAGGATTGTACATGTTGTTTAGTTGTGTCTTGTTTAGTCACATGTTTGGTTTGTTTTTGTTTTGTTTTTCTGACCTGCCTGCTGTCTGTGAAAAGAAGAAACTTAAGTCTAACTGGCCTCTCCTCCAGCCACATTGGTGCAAACACTTATTGACAGTGTTCACTTTTTTTTATCAAATGTCTTTTGTCAGTGATGAATGTATTTATTTTTGATCCTGTTTTCACTTTTGCTAAAGGGTTCACTTTGGGTGAGACGAGGTGTTTTCAGGGTCTTCTAATTTTATTGTTTTTGAATACGCTGAGAATAAAATGACACAAAGCGAACCATTGTTTTTGAAACCTGTGAAGATGTAGGCGTGAGGAATGTAGTGGTCCCATGAAGTGTTCATATTAAAGGGTGGATAGGATAGGTGGTGGTAATTATTATTTTTTTTTCTTTTCCTCCTATTCCTTCTCTCACTCAAAGCATGCATGTACTCTGGATCATATTTTTATGTTTGTGTTTTCCTTCCTGTACTGAACACTTGAAGGCTGTTTTCTTCAATTTGAATTTTTTTTTCAAGTCTGTATGCTTCTGTCTGTCAGTACAGTGCGGGACCTTTTTTTAGAATTGTGTAACCGGCAAACGTGTTCGTGTTTTTACTGAAAGCAGAGGTGTTGTCATGCTATCATGGTTCAAGGCTCCTAATTAATTCCTCCCCCCCTCCTTTCTTTGGGGGTTGGTGTTTTATTTATTTTTGTTTTTTTACAAATGACCAACAAAACCAAAGCTTTTGTAAGAATGAACACTTCTATGCTTACCTTCTACACCTCCACAGGCAGTAAAAGTGGCATGCAGACATGTCGCGTCATTACAGATGGAATAATTTTAAGCTTTACGATATGCACTTTTCATGTTGTCAGTGAGGTCCCTTTTAAAGATCTGCAAGAATTTAGTTACCCTAACTGTTTCATAAACTAAGCTTATCGGTGAAGCTTTAAGTGAACTCAAAGATTAGGGACTGAAGAAGAATGACCTTTCATTTGCTGCTATAACACGTAGTCTGTCAACAGGACTGCGTTCATTTCCTGTGTAGTACTCATTGTGAAAATAGTCTTATGTTACTGATTGTTAGCCCACCACTTGGACCTTGAGTTACCAAACCAACCCCTAACTAAACCAAAGCCAGCTTTGCAAGTATCTGCATAGCAGGTGGGCCTTTTCCATGTGTTTCTGCTCAAGGCCATATTGCACCTAATGCTGTATTCCTGCTGCCTTTTGCCTGTTCGTACAGCCAATATGCCCACCTCCTTTCAGTGTCTTCTAGCCACGTCCTGCCCATTCCAGTGTCTTCATATGCCTCTAATATTTCTGCTCATGGCTTTATGGACCTGAAGGAATGTATCCATCCATCTTAACAGAGGAGACGTCAATATTGTCCAGCTACATTGATGGAACAACCCAAAGAACAGTCTGACCTAACCTCTCCCTTTTAAGGGTTTGCGTACCTCAGAATGGCCGAACGCAAGTTATCTTGGTAATTTAAAATTTACATTAATGTCTTTTTGGTTTTTTAGCCTTGAACATGGCTTGCTGACAACACCTTGGTTTCACGTTTCAGTTCCTCAGAGAGCTTGTATTCAGGGCAGAGCTACATGAAGCTTGCAGCTCGAATTCTGTCGTGTATAGAAAAATGTTGTACAGAGGTGATCTCATCTCAGCATTCATGGTCTTTACAGTCTTAATGTACAGCTACAAGAATTCCATTTTAGAATCTTTTCATTAAAATCTTGATTAAAATGCTCATGTATCTCATTGTCTTTTATGCCTTGGTTGACTTTTCTTTTTTGTGGGTGGATGTACCAATTTGAACTGAGAAATAGTATGAGAGCCAATTAAAGATTAAATAAATTTAAATATATTTAAGAATGGTTCTGTATCTGCTATTTAAATCTAATTTCATTTAAGCACTTTTTAAGCTACTACTGTAGAGGGGACACATGGGCATTATCCACAACTTACGTCAGCGGGTTTGAGATCTTAACAAATGGTTTAAATGTCTGCAGTGAAACTACTTTGAAGTGGGGAAAATTACAACGGTCCAAAAGTCATTTGAAATATCTGCAAAGACATTATTTTTACTGTCATTAACGGCCTTTTGTCAAAAAGGTTAAACTAGCTGTCTGTAGAATTACCCACTTTTACATGCTCAAAGCTGAGAGAGTACTTGTTAGAGTAACTTGAAATACAGAAATGGTAATTTTTTTATTGTAGAACTTACAAGTAATTGGCAGTTTAGCATATCATATAATCAAGGTATTTTATGGTACTTTTAAGATTCTTTTGCCCAAACATATAAGGCCCTAATGTATTTTAAAGGTCAACCTGAATTCAAAATACATTCTTTTTGCCTGCTTAGTTCATGTCCCTGGTCTTACGATATGATGAATCATGCTTTATATCATACAATACTTTATATCTTACAATACAAACCTTACATTAAAATATTGTGACAAATATCTGCCTCTAAAATGTATTCTGATTTTTGGTCACTGTGTCAGTGGGTGGATAAAAATAATATTAACCAATAATATAATTTTTCACCTCCCTGTTCCACCACCCCTACTTATCATCAAGCCAAATTGCTCAGAGACCCTCCTTAATACCTTGTTTCACTTAGAAGTACACAGTACAGAAGTATGCATTGATTTATGTTCACATCAACTTTTAAGTTTGCCATGTGTAGCTATATTCTCTAAAATACAAATATCAAATAGGGCTCTGCCA